CTTTCAGTTTGACACCAAAAGCACAATCTGTAAAAAAATAAAATAAAATAAAAATAAACTGGACTTCATCAATATTAAAAGTTTTTGCTCTATAAAGGACCCTGTTACAAGAATGAAAGATAGACACAGACTAGGAGAAAGTGTTTGCAAATCACATATCAGACAAAGAACTTACATCCAAAATGCATAAAGAACTATCAAAAGTCAGCAGTAAGAAAACAAACAACCCAACTGAAAAATGGGCAAAAGATTTGAATGGACACTTCACCAAAGAGGATATATAGAAAGCAGACAAGCACATGAAAAGCTGTTACACACCATTAGCTACTAGAGAAATGCAAGTTAAAATTATGATGAACTACCAATGCACATATATTAGAATGGCTTGAACATCTTCACTACAAACTAAATTAGGAGGCTACCTATGTGAACTTTCTCTTTGACAACCCTGTCCAAGACACGTCACTTGAATGTGACAAGAGAAATTGGAACCATCTCCTGGTATCAAGGCCATAATACCTCAGGGAATGTCACACATATATAAATGCTTGTTCTTCATCATTCCTTCTTCAGATACCCTCACTTTAGGTCACGAAACTCTTTTTCAGTGAAATTCAGCTCTTCCACATTTGGCGTCTGTTTTCTCCTATATCTTTAAATTCCACTTTTGTTACCGTGCACGACACTGATGACACTCAGGCTGGGTATGGAAAACTTACTCTCAAAAAACGTTCTTGGCCAGCCGTGGTGGCTCACGCCTGTAATCCCAGCACTTTGGGAGGCTGAGGCAGGTGGATCACTTGAGGTCAGGAGTTTGAAACCAGCCTGTCCAACATGGCGAAACCCCGTCTCTACTAAAAATACAAAATTATCCGGGTGTGGTGGTGCATGCCTGTAATCCAAGCTACTCGGGAGCCTGAGGCAGGAGAATCGCTTGAACCTGGGAGGCGGAGGTTGTAGTGAGCCAAGATCGTGCCACTGCAGTCCAGCCTGGGCAACAAGAGCAAAACTCCATCTCAAAAAAAAAAAAAAAAAAAAAAAGTTCTTGGTTTCCTGCCGGGCCACACCTGCAGTTCCACTAGATTCCACAAGGGGGATGGTGTTGCCCATGTAAGGGCTCTTAGACTGCCTTTAGGACTCGTGGATAAATGAATGAGATAAAAGGCACACAACTAACCTATCTACACTTTTTAAATAACATCACATTTAAATAATACAATACATGCTGACCAATAGTAATCATTTATTATTGAAGAGAGAAAACATTTGCTTATTTCTTTTTCAGTCGGTCTACAGATATTTGTTGAACACCTACTGTATGCCAAGCTCTCTTCTAAACACTGGGGATACCAAAAAAAAAATTATTTGAAACAAGATATAAAAGAAATGATACAATTAGGCTAACTTTAATTAGTGATGATTCTTATTTTACTTCATCTGAGTTTTCTTCTGAAGCTTAACTGGCAAATTTACTCTCCTCTTTGATGAAGGGCATAGATATCAAGGCTTTTCTCCATGGCAGGCTTCCCATAAAATTCCTCCCACCACCCTTTCCTGTCTAATTCAAATGCTTACAACAACCATCTCAACCAGTGCTTATCAGGGGAATTCAGCCTAGCACAAGGTTTCTTCTACTCCATAACATGACTATTTAAAGCACTGTCCACTCAGCCTTTTTCCAGTTATATTTACATCCAAAATGCAAGAGACAAAGAGCTGGAAGGTAACTCTTGAGTTTCTTCCCCTTCTTTGAAACTTTTATCTGCCATGACATGGTACCTGGTCAAAGAAGTCATTCCCTTAGCTAGGTCTTTTTAAATTAACCACATATATACTTAGCCTCTCTTTCTCATGAATGCAGATTTTTTAATGGAATTCATTCCCACTGCTGTAAGATCTATCATGTTTGTAATTACTGGCTGCTGTGGCCATTTACAAACACAGACTTCCCCTTCTGAACATTTGTGACACTTTTGAATGGAACAAAATGAACACAGTAAAATGTTTTTTGTTGTTAAAGATAGGATCTTGCTTTGTTGCCCAGGCTGGTCTCAAACTCCTAGGTTCAAGCTGTCCTCTTGTTTTGGCCTCCCGAATTGCTAGGATTACAGGCGAGAGCCACCACACCTGGCCTAGTAGAATGGTTTTTAATCCGTGTTTACTTTTCAGCATCAAACAGCCTGTACACTGCAGGTAACCTCCCTGCTGGAATATGCAGACTTAGGAGTTCAGCAAAGGAAAGAGGGTCAAGCTTTCAGAAAGAATTTCCAGAGGTCCCAGAATGGGGATGTCAGCTACCAGACCAATGTGCTCTTCTTCCCATTCACCAAGCTGTACTGACCTTTGACCCCAGCTTCATGATTCTGCTCTTTCTTCAATTCAGAGTTTGGCCATCAAGGAGACCCAGATCCAAGGGCTTGGAGGCTTGCCTAGACGACAGCAGAGACAAGTGGAGTGTGAGGGGTTAGGGAAGAGGGGAGGAGGAGAGAAGGGTCCCACACCGGCCTAGCTCTGCTCCAGTAGTGTAGAGCAGAGGGCGGGGTTATGAGAGGTATACTAAAATTTGAAGGGAACTAAAAGGCTTGAACCCTTTGTGTCTCCTCAGGAGCTATTCCCATTCTCCTTATACCCTACTTTCTGCTGTTCAGTAAGTTCTGGTCCTTGGCTGTGCTCTCCTTAACCTGGCTTGCCTATGACTGGAACACCCACAGTCAAGGTAAGAGACAGGGGCACAATGGTGGTCCTGTTTGGCCCAAGGATGGAAGCACAGGCAGAGGGAGGGGGAGGGGGAGGCGGAGAACTCAGGGTAGGGGAGAAGGAGAGGAAGGGGAGGGAGAACAGAGAGCAAAATTCAGCAGGGACAGAGGTCTCTACCAGGCTGCTCAGGAAGAATTATGAGGTTGAGGTCTCCTCAGACTATTTTCCTGTCACCTTTCTGGTCAGCTCTAGCGGAGAAGGAGCTTCCTATGTCCTGGGGATTGGATTCAGGGACAGTATTTAGAGTCTGAGGTGTCAGAAGGAGGCCCCTCCTGTGACCTGAGGATTTCAGGCAGAACTCTCCTCTTCTGGGAGAGGTAAACGGACTGCAATGCCCTATGTACTCTTCTCTTCCCTTCTGTACCCACAGGTGGCAGGCGTTCAGCTTGGGTACGAAACTGGACCCTCTGGAAGTATTTCCAAAATTACTTCCCAATAAAGGTGACTACCCTTCTGGGTGCCCTCAGTCCCTGTTGTCCAGACTCTTGTTCCCTACTCAGCTCCATGTTTTCAGAGGTTTTGGTGGTCAGCAGTGAATGTTGAGACCCAGAGTCATAATGCAGAGCAAGGGCCCAAGATAGATGGGCAGGTGGGGAGACAGGTGGATGGCAGCCTCTCTGACCATCGTGAGCCCTGGCACTCCTATGACAATAACAACATCCCAGCGAACAGGGATTGGGGGCTCCTGGAGGGAAACAGGCTACCTGATGGGATTTGAGTCCACACATCATTTCTTCCTCCTTTGTAGCCAATGCTCTGACTCAATCTCCCTCTAACAGCTGGTGAAGACTCATGACATCATTGCCAATCACCCCCATGGCGTTCTCTCTCTCGGTGTCTTCATCAACTTTGCCACTGAGGCCACTGGCATTGCTCGGATTTTCCCATCCATCACTCCCTTTGTAGGGACCTTGGAAGGGATATTTTGGATCCCAATTGTGCGAGAATATGTGATGTCAATGGGTGAGTATAAGAAATAATTAATTCTATTTTTTGGCCTACTTCAGAGCTGCAACCCCAATAAGTCCTGACAATCACTCCCTGCTTGAAGCATACATGATAGAAAACGAGTCCAGAGCACCCTGGGCCAGTAACAGGAGTATGTGGCTAAGCATTAGTTTCTGTCCAAGATCTGGGAGCAGGGTTTGGTTGGGCAGCAGGGGAAGTTACAAACATTCATAAGAGTCGCCAGTACTTTTTTCAGAGGGAGAACCAGAAGGCTAGAATTCAGGACCAATGCCAAAGTGGAAATCCAAGGATGAAAGCCAAGAATTAAACACAAATGCAGGGAAAAGCAGGTATGAATGGGATCGCTCAGGCAAACTTCACCAGGCTCTCTCTAGGATGTCGGCTGGCCTCTTTGGGCCTGTCATTTGTACACCATGGTGTCTTAAAAACATTTTGAAGTCTATCATACTAGCTAACACCCTCCTAGTCCGTGACTTTTATCTCCTGGGAACCCCTTCACGCTTGCATAAAATGCCAAAGGATAAAGGATAGGCATTCCTCAGAGTATCCAGAACAACTTCCCCATGGTCAGCTTCAAGCCAGGGCACTGTGACAAATGTCCCTCTCTCTGGACGAACAGTCATCCTTCTGGACACCAAAAAACAACTGAAGCCAAACATTAAAGGTAAGATACATTTATCTGGAGGGGCCAGGTGGGACCGACCACTAGAGTCCCAGAGGATGCTTCTACTCTGCTCTGAGGTTAGCATGGCCCTGGAGCAGGAATCTCTCTGAATGGCTAAAGCCTGGAGGGAATTTCTGCCATCCCAGTAGAGAATAGAAGGTGAGCACAGGGCAAAGATGGGAGACAGAAGTGAGAAAAGCTAGATGATTGTTATTAAACAACAGGGTGTTATTCACATTCCATTATTCATCTACATTTCAGTTTGGCTTGGGCAGGCTCAGGGGTCTGCCTACTCTCCAGAAACCCCAGCCATGGCTCCCCTTTGGCAGGTCACTCTTAGGGAAGCAGGTTGGTGATGGCTAGTCTCGATTACCTCTGGAGGAGAGAACTCCAGAGGATCTCCAGTGTTGTCAGCCTGGGCAGAGTGGAAGATGGCTGTGCTTCATGGGTAGAGAGGGATGAGGTGGGCTTAGATACAACTGATCTGAAATGTAGTAGGCTATGGATGGTAGGAGGCAGAGAAACTCAGTATAGACCCAACTGTAGTAGCACAGGCCCGCAAGGCAAACACCTGACTCTAAGGACCAACCTTAGGCTAGGACAGTCATAACCCAGGACACAAAGGTCAGAGACAGAAAGGTAGAAACAGTAATAGTCAGAAAACAGAACTGTCACCAACAGGAAGAGCCTGGGAAAAGTCCTTACCCCATCCTCAGGCACGAAGTGTTTTCTACCACTTGACTCTTTGGTTTCACAGGTGTGTGCCCCGTGAGTAGGTCAGCCTTGAAGTACTTGCTGACCCAGAAAGGCTCGGGCAATGCCGTGGTTGTTGTGGTGGGTGGAGCTACTGAAGCTCTCTTGTGCCGGCCAGGAACCTCCACTCTCTTCCTCAAGCAGCGTAAAGGTTTTGTGAAGTTGGCACTGAAGACGGGGTGGGTTCCTAGGTTTTAGTGCTCTCTTGTCAGGGTGCCATAGGCCATCTGTACCCCTCTCCAGAATGGTCCCTTCCCTGGGAAGCCTGTTAGAGGGCCCCCATCTTCACTCTAATTCCTTCTGTCTACCCTTCACACTGTGCCTTGGGCATGTTTGGGCCTCTAGATACATTTCATTGGGCACTTTTCTTACTTGAAGTTGGAGAAAGAACAGCAGAAGAAAACCTTTTACCTTCTGCCCTTTGGCCTGGTAGGCTGGAGGTCTGGGAAAGTGAGGTCTCACTCTATATCAACCTGTTAACTGAGAGGCCCTGAGAATCCACCAACTGCAAGGGAGGCAGTAGCTTTGATGCTGTGAGGATCAAAAAGATGAATAAGACATGCACCCAAAGAGCATACAATCTGGTTTGAGAAATAGAACGCATTCATTCAGCAGTTATTGAACACCCACTCTATGTCAAGCATAGTACTACACATGTAGGACATAAAAGTAACACCTGGTCCTCACAAACTCAGAGTCCAGTATGGAAGAAGACAGGCCCATGCACATGTAATTACCAAATACATGCAGAATCCAGCCACTTGGATTCTAGGTACCACTTGGTGGTACCTAGACTACCACCCCCTGGCTTACTATCATCATCTCTTTCCCTGGATGATTATGACACTTCTAACTGCTCTTCCTGCATCTATTCCCACTCCTCCACCTTCAAGAGTCTATTCCCAGCTTCAGCAAGAATGATCCTGTTAAGCATGAGTCAGATCATGTCACTACTCAAAATGCTCCAGTGGCTCCCATGTCACTCAGAGTAAAAGCTAAAGTCCTTACAGGGGCTTGCAAGATGCCGAATAATCTGGTCTTTAGCTGCCTCTCTGTCCTCATCACTCACTCCTCTCCCACTTCTCTCACTCCATCACAGCTACACTGGCCTCTTTGCTGTCCCTCAAGCAGGCCACCCACTCCTGCCTTAGAGTCTTTGCTTTAGCTGTTCCCTGTACCTGGAACACTATTCCTCCAAATGACTGCTTGGCTCATTCCTTTACCTCCGTCAAGTCTTTGCTCAAATGTCTCTTCTCAGCTGGGTGTGGTAGCTCACACCTGTAATCCCAGCACTTTAGGAGGCTGAGGCAAGCAGATTGCCTGCACCCAGGAGTTCGCAACCAGCCTGGGCAACACGGTGAAACTCTGTCTCTACTAAAATACAAAAAAATTAGCCAGGCATGGCAGCATGTGCCTATAGTCCCAGCTACTTGGGAGGCTGAGGCAGCAGAATCTCTTGAACCCTGGAGACGGAGGTTGCAGTGAGCTGAGATCACGCCACTGCACTCCAGCCTGGGTGACAGAGTGAGACTCCATCTCAAAAAAAAAAAAAGTCTCTTCTCAATACAGTTATCTGACCATCTTGCTCTATTTTTTTCCTGTTACACTTATCTTCTTATAGATCATCTACATCATTTATTTTTTACCTGCTATTTTCAATGTTTATTGTCTTCCTCCCAAAAAAGGTAAGTTCCATGAAGATGGAATTTTTAAAAATCCATTGTATTCAATCTCCAGGGCCTAAAACAGTGCTGGCACATAGAAAGAACTTAATATTTGTTAAATAAATGGAGCACTATAATGGAAATGTGTATAAAGTGCTATGTGAGCATGAATTTATGGAAAGATCTTGACCCAGGGTAGAGGTTTCATAGGCGGGTAACATCTGAACTGTGAATTGAAATAGTAGGAGCTACCAGGCAGAACAAAAAGGAGAAAGAACCCAGGCATTCAGTGAAGACCTATGGCATGTCAGGCGCTATGCCAGGGCCTAGGGATTCAAAGATAAATATGACCCAGTTCTTGCCTTTGATCGGCTTGTTGTCTACGGGGGAAGTCGGACAGGTAAAAAGATGACTGTAATACAGGGTTGGGGCAGTATTAGTGTAGAAAAGAGGTAAGCACTAGATGAGGGGTACCTAATCTGCACTGGGGGAACTGAGGTGGTCAAACAAAGTTTCTTCAAGGGGATGAAATTGAGACTGAGCACAAAATTGAATGAGCCACATGAAGATAGAGGGAAGGCACTTCCGCAGAGGGAACAGAATGTACAAAGACACTTAGATGACAGAGTACGAGGCGCACTTAGTATGGCTAAGCAGATTGTAAGGAAAGAGTGGGGAGAGGAAAAGCTAGCCAGGGAGGGAAGGCTAGAGCATGAAGGCCATAATGAAGCAGGATGGTGCAAACTGAGGAGCCCTAGAAGAATTTGAGAGGAGTGGCATGTCCAGATATGCAGTTTACAAGGAACACTCTGGATGCTGGGTGCAATGAAGACAGAGCTTTTGAGATTAGTTTCTTCCTATCATAGGAGAAGGCAGAGCAGCAGGTGCCCTCAGAGAGTTCAACTGGGAGAGTGGGGCATGGCAGGAATGGGACATGTGGCTAGAGATGTTTGGGTGCTTAGGTTCTTGTTCTACAGTGGGGAGGTTGGAAAGGTTTCTCACCTTAGCGAGGATTTTTCTGGGGAGCTTCCTCAGAGAGCTCACACTCCTGTTCCTCTCTTTGCAGGGCATACCTTGTCCCTTCCTATTCCTTTGGTGAGAATGAGGTTTTCAATCAGGAGACCTTCCCTGAGGGCACGTGGCTAAGGTTCTTCCAAAAAACCTTACAGGACACAGTCAAAAAAATCTTGGGACTAAATTTCTGTACCTTCCATGGCCGGGGCTTCACTCGTGGATCCTGGGGCTTCCTGCCTTTCAATCGGCCCATTACTACTGTTGGTGAGCTTTCCAGTATCTCCAGATGGCCTGGCTCCTCATTCACTTCCCACACGCTTTAAGTCATCCATCAAGTCCATGGGGCCAAACTCACATCTGGGATGGGTAATGGGTGTGGTTGAGAGCAGGGTGGTCAGGACAACTAAACAGATAAGAGTTGTGGTCATTCATGGATGTGACATTGGCAACTGCCACAAGAACATCACCATTCACACACATTCTGTCACCACTCTCCTGAGCTTGCTTGTACTCTCTTGAGCATGGGTTTGATTAGATGATCAGAGAAAAACCGCCAGGATGAGGCTGGAGCAAAGGGTAAGAATGAAGGAAGGGGAGGAAAGCCAGATGCTGAGTTTCAGTACATGGCTCCCAGTGAGGGATGGGTAGTTCGAATTGAGGGGGGGACTCTGATGTTTGTCTCTTTTTTCATAGTTGGGGAGCCTCTGCCAATTCCCAAGATTGAGAGGCCAAACCAGAAGACAGTGGACAAGTATCATGCACTCTACATCAGTGCCCTGCGCAAGCTCTTTGACCAACACAAAGTCGAATATGGCCTCCCCGAGACCCAAGAGCTGACAATTATATAGCAGGATCCACATTCCCCATTAATAAACCCCTAAAGCCATGGGATCCAAGAAGAGCCATGGGAAAAGAAGAATTCGGGGAGAGGGAAGGATTGTAAGGATGAGAGAGCTTACATCCTATTTCTAGAACTCTCATTTATTAAATAATTTCTGGCTTGGAAATTATTAGTTCTAGCAATACAGTCCTCTCCCAAGTGGCTAAGGCAGGCTTAGGAGAAAACCAGAGGGGCAGTGGAGGACTGGGGAGGGCTGGTCAGCCAGAGAAGTTGGCTCTATCACCACTGGTTATTCTAGGGCAATGACCCAGTTTGGGAGTTTTATGAATCACTCCAGCCAACTCTCTGATCACAAGAATACTGTGCCCCAAGAAAAAAAAATTAAAAAAAAATTTCTTTTAAAGAAAAGAGAAAAAGAAAAGAATACTGTGCCCCTTTCTCCTAAATCTTAGCTCACCGTCACTATTTAGGTTTAGACTTAGAAGCTTTATTTGTAACAGGGGCAGTTTGTTTCCTCCTGGTCCTTTCCTTACAACTTGGGGACTGCCACAAGGTACACCAGGAACCTGAACTGTAGCTGCCTGGTCCAAGCAGACAGAATTCCCACAGTTGTGATAGAGTTCTAGATTGGCAATACAGTTACATTGTTTCTTCTCTGAAAATAAAGTTCTAGACATATGAAACAGGATGCCTCTATTTCCTGATTGCTCTGTGGCTCGCTATTGGGCTTCCCCTCTGGGGAAAATTTCTCCCTTCTGGCCAGAAAGCTGCTCTGTGGAGAGCCATTTTCCTGTTCTTTATCTACCCTTCATACTTCCCCTGACAGAAAAAATGGGGGAATGGAACCATAGCTGCTGCCCAGTGTAGGAGACAGGAGCAGAAACATGTCAACTGGCACAGGTACCCGCTGGGTAGCCCACCTCTCCTGATCCCACATAACCACCCTATGTCAGAAGGGAGGGAACCACAAGACCATGCACCAACTGTAAGTTTGCTTGATGTCAAGTCCCTAGTATGTTCCAGGGACCATGACATTGCTTTCACAACCGCTGTCTCTTAACACTAAACATAAGCTCAGTGAGATTGAGATTGTCATCACTTCCATTTCTAGTAGCTAAAGCTCCTAGAGGTTAGGTAGCTTGCCCAAAGCCACACAACTTTGGACAGAACTAGCATTCAAATCCAGGTCTTACTAATTCCAAACCAAAGTTCTCTCCAATGCACCATTCCATGTCCCATTCCTCATTTTCTGGAGACCCATGTTTGAGCTTCATTTTCCTAAATGAGGTCCCATGGAACTCCACAAAAATTAGTGTGGGCAAAAATGGCACAGATTCTACTCACAGTGGTCCTATATTAGGCCTCAAGGAAAATAATTGATTAATTAAAAAAACCTTTCTATATCAATATAATGGAATTGAGAACACACAAGGTCAATTGATTTTCACCTAGGGTGCCAAGACAATTCAATGTGGGAAAAAATAGTCTTCAACAAACGATGCTGGGATAACTGGACATCGACATGCAGAAAAATAAAGTTGGACCTTACCTCATACCATGTACAAAAATTAACTCAAATGGATCAAAGACCTAAAGTGAAAGTTAAAACTATTAAACTTGGGGAAGAAAACATAGGTGTAAAGCTTCATAATCTTGGACTAGACAATGGCTTCTTAGACACAGCATCAAAAGCACAAACAACAAAATAAAAAATAGATAAGTTGGACTCCATTATAATTAAACACTTTTGTGCTTCAAAGGACATCATTAAGAAAGTGAAAAGACAACCCACAGAATGGGAGAAAATATCTGCAAATCATATATCTCATAAGAGTTTAGGAGCCAGAATCGATAAAGAATTCTTATAACTCAACAACTGAAAGATAACCCAATTTTTAAAATAAGTAAAGGATTTGAATAAACATTTATCCAAAGAACCTATACAAATGAAAAAGTAATGGTTGGATATGGTGGCTAATGCCTGTAATCCCAGCACTTTGGGAGGCCCAGGTGGGAGGATTGCTTGAGCCCAGGAATTCGAGACCAGCCTGGGCAACATAGTGAGACCCCATCTCTGCAAAAAATTGAAAAATTAGCCAGGTGTGGTGGTGCATTCCTGTATTCCCAGCTACCAAGGAGGCTGAGGTGGGAGGATTGCTTGATCTCAGGAGTACAAGGCTGCAGTGACCTACAATCATCACATCACCGCACACCAGCCTGGGTGACAGGGTGAGACCCTGTCTCTAATAGAAAAGAAAAAGAAAAAGTGCTCAAAATCATTAATCATTAGGGAAATGCAAATCAAAACCACTGTGACACCATTTTACGCCCACTAGGATGACTACAATAAAACAAGATAGACAATAACAAGTATCAGGATTTGGAGAAACTGGAACTCTCAGGCATTGCTGATGGTAAAATGGTGCAGCCACTTTGGAAACAGTTTGACAGTTCCTTAAAGAGTGAAGTGTAGAGTTACCATATGACCCAGCAATTCTACTTTTAGTTATATACCCCCCCAAATTTAAAACATATGGTCACACAAAAACTTGTACATAGATGAACACAGCAGAATTATTCCTGATAGCAAAACAGTGCAAACAATCCAAAGGTCTAGCAACTGATGAATGGATAAATGTATTGGGGTCTATCCATACAATGGAATATTATTTGGCAATAAAAATAAATGCAGTAATGAATGATACATCCTACAAAACAGATGAACCTTGAAAACATTATGGTAAGTGAAAGAAGACAGACACAAAAGGCCATATATTGTACAATTCTATTTCTATGAAATGTCCAGGGAGGGAGGGAAGGAGAGAGAAAAGAGAAAATAAATTAGTGGTTACCAGAGATTGTGAAGGAAGAAAGGAAAGGAGAATGACAGCTAATGGGCAGGGGTTTATTTTGGGGGTGATGAAAATGTTCTGGAATTAGATAATGGTGGGTACACAACCTTGCAACTAAATTGGACACTTTAAAATGGTGAAGTTTATGGTATGTGAATTCTATCTCAATGAAAGAGCAATGTTTAAAAAAAACTTAGCCATTTAGTTTTAAGGGAAAAAAGTGTGGGATATTTTAAAGTAAAAAAAAAATCACAATAAAAAATTTTAAATGCTTTCTATTTTGAAACAATTGTAGATTTACAGGTAGTTGCAAAATTAGAGTCCCTTGAATCCTTTATCCAGCTTTCCACAATGGTGATATCATATGCAACTGTAGTACAATATCGAAACAGGAAATTGATGCTAGTACAATACCGTTAAAGCTTATTCCATTTTCACTGTTTTTACACTCACATATGTGTGTTTGTGAGCATGTGTGTCTATGCAATTTGATCCCATAAATAGATTCATGTAACTCCCATGACCATCATGATATAGGACTGTTTTATTACCACAGAGGAACTTCCTCATATTACCCCTATATAACCACACACCCCCACCTTTGTTCCTGTCCCTGGCAATCACTAATCTACTTTCCATATCTACAGCTTTGTCATTTCAAGGATTATACAAATGGAATCATATAGTATGTAATATTTTGAGATTGTCTTTTTTCACTAAGCATAATGCCCTTAAAGATCTAAATTATAATGTATCCACAGTTCATTCCTTTGCGTTGGCTGGGCAGTTTTCCATGGTCTGCACATACCAGAGTTCGTTTAACCATTCATCCATTGAAAGACATCTGGGAGAGAGATCCAAGATGGCTGATCACTAGCACCTCAGGATTGTAGCTCCCACTGAAAGCGCAGAGAACAAGAGGACGCCGCACTTTCAGATCAATTTTTGTTGCTCACGCACCAGGAGATTCCCAGCAGAGGAGCCCCACGGGTCGCCAGCGCGACTCTTGTGGCTGGCGAGGCGGTTTTGCCGCGGCCTTGGTGCAGCAGTTCTTGGTGCAGAGTCAGAAAAGCACCATCAATCTTAACACTGCTGTTTTGGCCGGCGCAGTGAGTTGCTCAGATTTTAGCACCAGGAATCAACAAGTTGGACGTCCATTCAGAAACCCAACTATAAAGACAGTAAATATAAAGACCACAGATGGATAAATCTATAACGAAGGGACGAAACCAGCCTAAAAAGGCTGAGAATACCCAAAATCAGAATGCCTCTCCCTCTACAGGGGATCACAGCTCCTCATCAGCAACAGAACAAGGTCTGATGGAGAAAGACTGTGTTCCATTAACAGAAGCAAGCTTTAAAACATGGATGATAAGAAACTTCTGGGAATTAAAAGAACTTGTTCTAACCCAATGCAAAGAAACTAAGAACTTTGAAGAAAGGTTTGATGAAATGTTAACAAGAATACACAATTTAGAGAGGAATATAAGTGAATTAATGGAGCTGAAAAACACAAGAACTTCACAAAGTATGCACAAGTTTTAACAGCCGAAC